AAGAGAGATAAATAAGTTAGGTAAGACCTATAACACTAATATAGAGAGTTTGGTGCTTCATATAAATATAAACAATTAAGAACTGGGAACTTCTAAATACTAGTATATGTTATAGGGGTATCAATAAAGTTATGTGATAATATAGAAAGACTTCACTGGAACTTACGGTCACTGCTAGTAATCACATCTATTTTATCATTCAAACCTAGCATGGGAGATTAGGGGACTTGGCGATGCGGTGCCTCTTGGCACCACAATGCTCCGTCCAAGCAGAAAATGCCTAGTTTGTTTCATGTTTAGGTGATTGGCAAAAGCAAAACCAGTGCAAGAACATACACTTCCTTGGAAGACCAACATCACTAGAACCAAAGTCACCCATAGCATCCCTGTCCTTCTGTATTTGATTATTGGATCAAAAATTGGAGTGTTCTAGGTTCTCTTATGTAAATTGAAGGATGCTGTTGCCTTGCCAAAAATTGGAGTGCACTAAGTTTTTTGAATGCAATCCCTGCTAGGATCCCATCTGAAATTGAAGGTATGTCAACGTGAGATTCTGATCCGGTGAATAAGAGAAAACCAAACCCATCAATGAGATCATGTCCCTCGATATTCAGTCACAACTTTCAAAAATTGACAATAGATGTAGATCGAAAGATGCCGCTGCCTTGTGGTTCCTTGGGTTGAAATTTCCAAAATAAGACAATCGACTAAGAGGATTAAAATAGTCTTTAATATTAGGAGTTCATTTTTCATTTAATTATTATTGTTGTGAAATTTAAATTATATAATAATTTTTTAATACAAAAGCTTTTTGTTGGTACAAACTTAAATTGACTTTTATACCCTTGGTAAGTGGCCACCCTTATTTAATAACTAACAAGGAAATAAAGGTCATTTGGGGCCTAGATTGACAAATCATCAAGGCTCTCTATGCTATATTTATATATGAGATTCATGTTTTAAAGGTCAAATATACATTAAAAGTGTAGTTTGGATATTGAAATTATTAAATAATCATTAATAAAATAATATAAAAAATAATTTCATTAATAATATTTTAATAAATTCATAGTTTAAATTGCACTTTAAATATGAGAGACAAAAAAGACAAAAAAACATTACCCTTAATAAATTAATCATGATGTATTTTTAATTTATTAAGAATATTTTTGTCTTTCCAAATTTATTTTATATGCAGAGTAGTAGAAAATATTTTAATGGCAAAGGTCAAATTTATTAGAAAGAGAACATGGATTCTCATCAAATTGTGATCGGTCAAATATCGTCTAATAAATCTATTTATTTTAATTTCTTAAAATGTTTAGCATTGACTTGAGTCATGACATGTGAACTTGTCCTGAACTTCAACTTCAAGGGAGAGCTCAATTATAAATAGTGGAGATCCTTTAGAGCTCAATTCAAGCCAGATTCTCTTCTCTACTCCATCTTCTTCTCTTAACTACTCTGCATCCTGTTAAATTAGCCTATGGCTTCCAATAAGTTTAAGTTTTTATTTGGGTTGATTTCCCTTATTATAGCTACTTCCTCTGCTCAGTTGTCCTTTATTTTACGCGACAACATGCCCCAATGCACTTTCCACCATTAAATCAGCAGTGTCATCCGAAGTCAAGAAAGAGGCTCGCATGGGAGCTTCCTTGCTTCGTCTTCACTTCCATGACTGCTTTGTTAAAGTCACCTCTTCTTCTCTACCCTTATTCATTAATTTGCTAAAACCTTTATTTCTACCTTACAGCAAATTTATTTGCAATCAAATCACATGCGTCTATTTTTGTATATGCGTACATTTTGCAATTGCGCATATATCTGTGATTGTGCGAGTAAATGTTAGTGTGTTTATGGTATATATTGTTCTAATTTAAAATTTTAAACTAACATACTTTGTAATTGTGTATGTAAATGTGGAGATTTAACCAAAAAACTTTTTATCTGTTATTGTATAACATGTTGTTAACTATAGATCCTATATGATTAATTGCTAACAAAATATATTTCTTTTCTTTTTTTAATATACCATGATATGACCTCTTCATAGGATTCCTAATCTTTATTTGGACTGAAAATGCTATATTACCGACTTAATAATGCTAGGTAGGACCTGTGTCACTATTTTAAGGGCTGGGCATTTGAAACCGAACTGATGGGTTATTTGAAAATCGAATAAAAAAATGAATTTGGTTCGATTTTAATGGTTTTTTGTTTTTATTTTTTTGGTTTTGATGTTAACCGAATAAGTTTTGATTTGATTTCGGTTGAACTTTTTAAAAATTGAAAACCGAAATTAAGTCCTCTGAAAATCGAAAATAAGATAAATATGACAAAATATATGATAAAATATAATTTATTATTAGAAAAATAATTGATTAATATTTATTTATTAAAAACTGAAACCGAACCAATTTTATTAGTAACCAAATCAATCGGTTTTGTAAAAATTTTGGTTTGGTTTCGATTCTTAAAATTGAAGAAAATTTTTTTTGATTATTTCAAAACCGGTTTCAGTTTTAATTGAAACCGGTTTTGCCCACCCCTAATTTTAGTCCATATGCGGATATATATATATTTTTTTTCTGCAGGATACCAAGAATACATGTAATGTATGATTTTTGTTTTCTTGATACGTTAAGAGTATGAATTGAATTTTACATTTTTAGTTAAAAATATATATAAATTTACCATCAGAGTACAGGATTAACAGTTATATATGTACTTGTTATATTATGTGAAAGTAACATAATCTTATGCAACAGGGATGTGATGCTTCCATCCTCTTGGACGACACTACAAATTTTACTGGAGAAAAGACTGCTAGAGCAAATAACAATTCAGTGAGGGGATATGAAGTAATCGATAACATTAAATCTCAATTAGAGAACATATGCCCTGGTGTCGTCTCCTGTGCTGATATAGTAACCGTCGCTGCTCGTGACTCCACTGTTGCTGTAAGAAAAAATTAGCAATAAATAATTCTAAGAATTTCTTGTCTGCGGTTGGAACAGTTAAAAAAAATTGATGGATGAGGGGGACAAACTCTTAATATTAGGAAGTTTATCTTATCCAATAATTTATGTTATACAGTTCAAACTATGCATCATTCTTTTTTGTTTGAGTAGCAAAATAGCAACAGTTAAATGATGAGGGCAAATTCCAATATCATGAGCTCATTTTTATTTAATGATTTATATTGTGCAGTTTGGATTATATAATATTTTTTATATAATAATCTTAATTGTTTTCTAAATTTGCTTTTGAATTACTACATTGTTTTGGTACTTCAATTATTGATCTTTTGATTTCTGCTTTATCAGCTTGGTTGACCAAGTTGGACTGTTCTTTTGGGAAGAAGAGATTCAACCACAGCAAGTCAAACTGCTGCTAATTCCAACCTCCCCTACCCATCCTCAAGTCTTAGTGTCCTTATCAGTAACTTCTCCAACAAAGGTTTCACCGCTAAGGAAATGGTAGCTCTTTCAGGTAAGCTCCCTTTAAACTCGTTATTATAGAAATTTAAATCTTGGACCTTAAGGTTTATTACTGTGTACTAGTTTGGCTAAGTATACAACTATACGGTATTAACAATTAAACTTATCCATGAATTTTAGGATCACATACAATTGGACAGGCTAGGTGCTCCACCTTCCGAAGCCGTATCTACAACGAGACCAACATTGATTCCACCTTTGCAACATCACTACGGGGAAATTGTCCGAGCAAAGGGGGAGACAAAAACCTTGCTCCTCTAGACACAACAAGTCCAACATCATTTGACAATGCATACTTTAAGAATTTGTTGAACAAGAAGGGACTTTTGCATTCCGACCAGGAGCTCTTCAATGGAGGTTCCACAGACTCTCAAGTTACCGCATACAGCAACAACGCCGGAACGTTCAGCACAGACTTTGCGAATGCGATGGTAAAGATGGGGAATCTGAGTCCACTCACGGGCTCAAATGGCCAAATCAGGAAGTGTTGTAGGTAGGTCAATTGAGTTTGGATGGCACAGAGGCTTGGAATTGTCCTTTTCTGTTTAGGAATAAAATGGTTGGGTTGTTTAAATCCAAATCTAACTCTAATAAAACACTAGGTAACATTCTCCTTAAAAACATTCTAGCTTCCTAATTTGAATATAACTCAATTAAATAAAAGGATTTGCTTTATCACTGTGGCACTAGCCCAACATTCACCTTCGTATGGGCTACAAATTTTACAGCAGGCCCGCTCTAGATAAGCACCCAAGCCCATTGATTAGCACACATCAGACCAATGATTGGCACCTAATTTGACATGTGGACATTCTCCTACTGAATTTTAATTTTAGGAGTAAACAAAGTACTTCTTAGCTGGATTCCAAAACACTTTTTCAAAAAAATATAATTCAAACTAAATTTTGCAGTTAAACCAACATAAAATTGAAGAACAATCTACATACAATAGGACTTGAACTTGGAACATATCTTCGAAGGAGAAGTAACAACTCCAAGGCCACTTTGTTCATGTAATCAAACCACGAGATTCACATATAGATAGAACGAGTCTAATTAGCATGTTGAGACTCAGTTGACTTTCCTACAGTTCAACCTGACTTGGCCGCTGGTACCGGTGAGAGGGCTAATGTTTGCCATTTTAATCATCGCATACCCAAAATCTACAGCAAAAGCCTCAGGATTGTTGCTATAACCCTCAACTTGGGAGTCCGTTGAGCCGCCGCTGTAGAACTGTTGGTCAGAGTGCAATATCCCCCTTTCCACCATCATGTCCTTGTAGATGTCATTATCGAAAACTGTTGGAGTTTCTGTGTCTAAAGGAGCAAGATTGTCATCTCCTCCGGTGGCCGGACAGATTGCTCTCAATGATGCCGCATAGGAGGGATCGATGTTGTTTTCAGTGTAGATACGGCTTCGGAAAATGGTACACCTAGTTTGTCCAACTGTATGTGCACCTGAAATGGTTATTAATTAAAAAGAGTTTTGATGAGTCTATGGTTTTTCGGTCTGAATAGGTTGATCAATCTAGGCTACGAAGAGAACTAAATATCCCAAATAAATCTAGTGTGCTCGCTGGATCATTAAAGGTATTTTAGTTTTTTTATAGTTAAAATTTGACAATTTTTAACCTATATTAATTGGAAAAAGAGTTTTTTAGAATTAGATTACATATTATTTTCAATTTTAATATCAGATTTTTTAGATGTGAATTGTGATATCATATATAATTATAGTTTCACATTTAGCAGTAGTGCTATATAGTACTTCATATATAATTAGATTAAAAGCATACCATAGAGAGTAACCAAATCGCTTGCACTTAATCCTTTGTTGGCGAAGGCAGTGATGAGGCCGCTTAGATTCAAAAGTGGAGAGGGAATGTCTATGGTACCGCTGAAATTAGCAATGGTTGAATCTCTTCTGCCCAGTAAAACTGTCCAGTAAGGTCCACCCAACTAAAACAACAAAAAAGGAGCAAAGGTTAGTTACTTTATATATGGATAAAGATTTTTTTTTTTTTTTTTGGTACCTTCCATTTCTGAACCCCTCATAGGATTCGAAACTTGAGAACTCAACAGAAAGG